CCTCGGAAACAGCGTCAGCATGAATCTTCCAGTAAAGCCAATCGACAGCTGGTCGTCTTCTGGTGGAACCCCGACCTTCGAATCTCTTCGCCCGACACTTTCACTCGAAATGGAAGTAAGCTCAACCTCATATTTTAGATGAAAGCTCATGAATTGCGTCAACCTGAACATTTTATTGAGGCTAAACGGTTGAAAAACAATTACAATTTTTCTAGCCTTTTTCTGATGAGATCGACTTTCGAATCTCTGCATTGTGCACTTTTGTACGAAATTGAAGTTTCCCCGACAATATTTTCTCAAGAAATGCATCACAACCCACTTACTCTCTGCATGTACTCACTGTTTTCTGAATATATTTCTCTCTCCTCCATTATAGCCATCATCTGTACCAGCTTTTACTAGGATAGCTGTATACTTATTTCGATCTACCGCTGAAGTGTCATATCTTTTCAAGAGTAAAATTGTCTATTCCATCCTGGATCGGCTGGTAATAGACTATGCAGTTGTGATTACCGCGATTGATAGACTAATGGTACATGTCTTGCTTTTGTTTCCTATTTGCAATAAATTCCGTTAAGCTGTCCTCCCCAGTCGCAAAGTCTCGTCATGGAATCCTCGCCAAGCCGTCAACTCCTCCAACAGATGGTGCAGATCCTCTGGCCAGGTTCAGCGGCCCAACTGGCTCTCAAGCTGGGTCGGTTCATTCTGGAGTCGATGCTGTCAATGCATCCGACGTCACGGTCGAGATGACTGGCAAGCCTGAAGCTACAGTCGAGGGCAGAACGGCTCGTCGGGTCCGTTCCCTCCGAGACCGTTATGCACCTGACAACGGCGCTTCTGGACCGGCCACAAAGCAGGAGCGCTACTACTACTATCATCAAAGCGGCGATGCAACCGGGCGTGGCCGCCGACGCGGTCCACTGACTCCCGGGGCGTCGGGCGGTGGTCGTGCCGCCGATTGGCGTAGCAACGCCGCAGCAGGTGGACAGAACAGACCGAGCCCGGGCGCAGGGACGAGGACCTTCCAGACGCGACAGGAGGCACTTGGCGCCGAAGGGTCGTCGGTTCAGGCGTCTTTTGAAGAGGGCGTTGAGGCCCAGGCAACTGCCGGCACCTCGGGAAGTGTGGCGTCTGGAGGCGGTGGCAACGGAGCCGCGATGGAGCAAAGTTATCATAACTCGTTGTGCCAGAGACGGGAGTTCATTGTCAACTTTGAGGTGGTCGGCTGGGCCCATTGGGTGATTGCGCCACAGGCCTACAACGCGCGCTACTGTCGTGGAGAGTGTCCCTTTCCCATGGGAACGCCGTTCAACACAACCAATCATGCCGTTCTGATGCAGCTCGTCCACTTGCTCGAGGCGGCTCGAGTGCCGGGACCCTGTTGTGTGCCGAACCAACTGTCGTCGCAATCGTTGCTGTACCACACTCAGGAAAACGAGGTTGTCCTCCGAGTCTATCAGGACATGGTGGTTGAGAGTTGTGCATGTCGTTAGACCCACAATTCGGTCTTCTAAGGCATAGCCTTGTCTAGGAAGGAAGTTGCAAAGTGCAGCTAATGAAATTGGAATGGGCCAGTGGCAAAATGAAGCGCAGAAAGATGGAAAAATAATAAAAAATTTACTCACGAAACAGCAACGATTCACTGATGAAAAGTCACCTGGCATAAGAGAATACATTAATAGTTAGTCGTAGCACTACTTACGCACTAAACAGTAGTTGGACAAATTATGTCCATACGGGAGATCTACAATTCCTTCGTGCAAAAAATGAATAAGATATAGTCAAATGGATAAATATATTTACCAACTAAATGAAGTAGATGAAGCAAAAGGCCTGAAAAATGGGTAAATTTAAGGAATTAATCAAAAAAAATGCAAGGATTAGATTTAGCCAATTTTTTTGAAGCCAGGCGCATGCATAAAGTTGAAAAGTCACATTTGTCAACAGCCTTCTGGCCTAACATGTCATCAATTTGACTCCTGATTAAGCGTCTTGTATGTGCTTGTGCCCTAATCGGGACCCAGAAACAAGTGAATCCATCCACAGGCCACTTGATCCCTAAGGCATGGTAGCCTCAAAAGCGAAATTAATAGCCAGTACGCACGTCTCAAAAGCAAGCCAACATCAGAAATTCATAATCTCACAACGATTTGACATTACTCACATTACACTTGCTTCATATTATTTATAAATATATGATATATATATATATATATATATATATTTAGAGAGAGAGAGAGATCGCTGATTCTGCAAAATAAAGTGCTTTAGCATGCAGAACCCATCAGAATCATATTTTGCCTGGTTCACATGTTCAATCACCCATCCCATCTACAGTCCTGCCTATGCGCTGTATTTTTTACATGTATATTTACATACAGTTTTACCAAGTAACATAGATAGGCAAATGCACACTGTCAAATTGAAGCGCACATGCGCGCGTCTATACACACGTACACGTACAATCATACGTACATGTGAAATGGTACACTGAAGAGAATTTTACTTCTATATCTACCGGTGGGTGGATTCTTGTTTTGCAAACTCCAGTGCCTTCAACGGTCCAGCCGTCTGGCGTTCCAGTCCGATCTCAAGGTGAACCATCAAAAATGTGCAATAGCCTCGTGACTTGTGAGTGTGTCTGTGTGTGCATGCGAGTCTGTGCCATGGGTGATATTGTCCAGCCCACAGCCTTACCCCTTTACACCGCCACACTACCTCGCGAAAGCTGTATCTTTGCTCGCGCCGAACTATACTGCACTCTTCCATATGCACTAGGCAGAGTGGCTCAGAGCTTGCTGGAGAATAAACACAATTTTTCACACCAGCACAGAGATCAAAGTGGTGTACTGAGGGTGAAAGGGAATATATAAACACACCCACTGGCAGCCATGGCCTTGAAGAGGCGTAATCATAAACCATCCTGCCACATGCGTGCTGTTAGTGGGGGAATGGCAATTTGACTTGGAAACTGTTCTTCTTTCAAGCCATTGCGCCAACATGCATTGCTTTCGAGTTGCGAGTGATGCAAGAGTAAGATAGAGAGGCAAGGGTCAAACACAGACCGCATGTGCATTTGTTATGGAGTCAGTTTGTTTTCATATGAATGTTTCCCTTCACAAGAGTGCCTGCCATTATTTCAAACGGTGCCAACAGCACAAATTAGTTGCAAATACAGTTTGTTATGTGCTCTGTATAACTTAAAAAATAAAACAAATTAAACAACAATCTCGTTCCTATTTCCAAATAGGCTGCCATGGAAGTGTCTGCTTGCTTAAAAGCATGCATTCGGGCTTGATGAGGCAGATACATTTCATCTACTCTGCTTCACAGACTATCGCCAAGCTGGGCACATGGCACAAATGTCAGCTTTTGCCTCTTAAATCAACCAATTATGAGACCTTTCGCTATCAAATGACCCTCTAAAAGTCAATCTGATATACTCCATTCGATTGTAACCTTGCAATGAGGCATTTTTGACGAAATCTCTCGACACATTTGGCTTGGCATGCCAAGTTGACCTGCTAGCAAACCTTGGTTTTACGGACTAACAACATGTCTAAAAATGTGTCGATTCTCTCATGAGATCTTGGCGCTAGAAAACACGTCACCAGAACAAATGTAATCCTTATTTGGTACATCGAGGAATGTACTTGTTACTATTGGGAACTGTTTACATTTTCTCTCTTCGTATCTGGTAGTCTCGAAACCCTACTCTCATAGAAGGAGTAACGTTTCGAGACTACCAGTAAATCAGTAATATGAGATGTATTCCCACTATTTCTTTTAGGGTGATGAAGGACGAGTAGTAGAATTTTCCCACAAAGATGTGAGTAGAGCTGACGCTCCCATTGAATTTCACATTGCCCTGCTCTACTCATACCATTGTGGGAATATTCTACTACCAGTCCTTCATCAGATTACACGAAATAGGGTGAATACATCTCATATAAATGAAAAAAGTTTCATCAATTTGAAACTTTTCAAATAGAATACCTTCAGGTATTTTATGGAAATTATAATTCCTTGTCAAGTACGAGCAGGGATACCGAACGACTGAGTCATTTTCTGTGTTCATGCATTGCCTCCAGAACGGTATTTCAGCTGCGAATATTTTTTCGTTTAAGCTGTATTTTTTAGCAATTTTCGACTTCTTAGCTATATCATATATTTTCTATTACATTCACCCCCATACTTTTGTTCGCTGTGGGTATCTTTCGAGAATACCAGTCGTTTGTAAACAGTAACTATTGTGAGGCAAACTCACACTATTTTACACACATCACAGACATCACAGATTGTCACGAAACATATTCATATCGAGGTTTGCAAGAATTATTACTGATGATTGCTGTGCTCACTTCCATTTCGAGTAAAAGTGTTGAGTGAAGCGAATCGAAAGTCGGGGTTCCACCTGAAGACGACCAGCTGTCGATTGGCTTTACTGGAAGATTCATGCTGACGCTGTTTCCAAGACAATTTACTTAGATTCCGGACATCATCAGAGCGAGGTAACATTGTCACAACCAAATTCAAGCTAACAAGTCAAGAAACTCACCGCCAAATCCCTAAAAAGTCGTATATATTCTCTACATCTGGCCTCTTTGATTGAGTATAAAGTGATTTGGTTAGTAAAAGTCATATGTCAACTTTGATGCATGTGAGTATGTCCGTCTGTGTATGTGTGTGTGTGTCTGTTTGTGTTCGCTTATGCGCGAAACCCTCAATGATGGCTCAAAGTTATTTGGACATCAAAAGGTTTGATGACCCCTATCTCCTCCTTTCTACAAACATAGTATAACTATCACTCCGATTGCGCAAGGTCGGACACTCGTCTGGTTTTGGTCTCAATGCGAGAGAGAAAGAGTGAGCTAAAAGTACAGACAAGTAACTATGATTAGAACCGAGACAAGAAAAGACTAGTCGCGTCCGCCGTCGTCTTCTGGTGGAGTCGACTTTCGAATCTCTTCACCAAACACTTTCACTCGAAATGGAAGTAAGCACAACAATTATCAAACAAGATATTGCTCGAAACTTAACATTTCTCAGCATATAATACTAATGAAATTAGTTCTTTCAACAAAATTCCCAATCAAAAAGTTGCTCTTCATGGGCTTAACAGGTCTACGCTGTAACCAACATCTGAATTGCTCTCTCACTCTGATTTGTAATAAGACCTATCATCCCTCTCTGTAGCTCAGACTACCAATCTCATCACATTTCATATTACTCACCACATCTATTAGCAGATCATCAATTCCGAGTGTGTGCCACCCTCGCCTGTAATGATAGAAAACTTGCCAGCCGATCTTTGGCTCATTATATATTCACGGTTAGTTCAGTAGCGAACCTGAAGATCTCTTACCAGTTCACCAAATATGACTCATTTTTGAAAGTTTACTCGAAACCATACTATTTCATTTTCGGCATAAGTAGCTTCTGAAAGTGCCAGTAATAATGGAATGGGATTCTTTATTAACTGATAGTTAAATTTTCCCAGGGCAGATGTGCCATTTAAAGCAAGCCAGACCTCTA